TCTAAAAAAGCGCAGCTGGGCATTCTGGTGGTCCAGTTGATGTGAAAGGTCGCAGAGAACAGCTGGATGGTTGCAAGATTGAAGGTCGCAAGAAGATCAAGCGCGTGACATACGCCATGGATTTGAAAGGACCTCCTGTTCTTACATCGAACGTGTTCGGCAAAGTTAAGCGGGACTGTTGTCAAGAAGGTTGTGGCCTGTTGATATCAGATCATCTGACGTACTGTCGTGGCTGGAGCGAGCGTACAGGGCATTTATGGAGACAGACCCTTACGTCATGGTCCAGAGATGCATGATATCACAAGTGGTGAAATCTGGTTTGTCAGTTTGCTCAGATGCAGAAGCCTGAGAATCACAACATTCTGAGAATGACATCAAGGCCATTTGCAAAGATTTGACACAGGTGGTGAATACGAAGATGATGAGATGTCCAATCCGTTTGAAACATTAATGGGAGTGGCCAAGTTCGACTCCCTAGCGGAAGCACTCAGCCATTCCCCCTCCCCAATTGTTTGCCTCCAAAAGACCAAGACGAACTCAACCAAAAACATTGGAAGTGTTTGCTCTCGGTAGATTCCGAAGACCCACATGCAGGCGTAGGATTTGCAATCCACGCCTCCTTTTTGCCCTACCTACAAGATTTTATTCCCTACTCCTCCCGGATTGCCGGAATCATTCTCAACACTAAACCCCATCGGATTTTTATCTTCTCTATCTACGCGCCATCTATGGTGCAAGACACGGCCAAAGATGCCGCACGGAAAAATCACTGGGACTCCCTCACTCGTATTTTAGAGGATCTCCCCAAGGGCGCATGGGGGACTTCAACACACGTTTTTGTCCAGATCACGTGCTAGCAGTGCCAGACAAAATTGGTTCCGCCACTTTTGCTCCTAACGTCGACGTTACATTTTACGCCTCCAACCTCCCCTTCTTTCTTGATTTTATTGCTCATCACGACCTTTCCGTAGTGTCCTCCTTGCGTCCCCGCCCTCTGTCTTCCTTAGTCACATACCAAGAAATAGCCGCACCCTCCACCACCATTACCACTTCCTCACACGCGGTCCTTGACCACGTCTTTGCGCCCACCAGCACCTTCTCATGGTTCCAAACAGTCAAGTCCGACCCACAATTCCAACTCCCTTAGTTTCATCGTCATTCCTTGGTTGAGGCAACTATTAGGCTTCCTTTGTGCCGTGTCCCCCCGACACAGCAGCGTCCCCTTCGACGTCAAAACCTGACTGGCTGGCTGGCTGACTCACTCAGTCACTGACTCACTCACTGACTCACTGACTGACTCACTGACTCACTGACTGACTGACTGACTGACTGACTGACTGACTGACTGACCAACTGACTCACTGACACTGACTCACTGACTCACTGACTCACTGACTCGCTGACTCCCTGACTCACTGACTCACTGACTCACTGACTCACTGACTCACTGACTCACTGACTCACTGACTCACTGACTCACTGACTCACTGACTCACTGACTCACTGACTCACTGACTCACTGACTCACTGACTCACTGACTCACTGACTGACTCACTGACTCACTGACTCACTGACTCACTGACTCACTGACTCACTGACTCACTGACTCACTGACTCACTGACTCACTGACTCACTGGACTCACTGACTCACTGACTCACTGACTCACTGACTCACTGACTCACGGACTCACTGACTCACTGACTCACTGACTCACTGACTCACTGACTCACTGACTCACTGACTCACTGACTCACTGACTCACTGACTCACTGACTCACTGACTCACTGACTCACTGACTCACTGACTCACTGACTCACTGACTCACTGACTGACTGACTCACTGACTCACTGGCTCACTGACTCACTGACTCACTGACTCACTGACTCACTGACTCACTGACTCACTGACTCACTGACTCACTGACTGACTGACTCACTGACTCACTGACTCACTGACTGACTGACTGACTGATTGTGCGTGCACCAATGTGTCGGTTGGCTTTCTTTTGCCCATGCGGCTCTGCTGAATTGAGTGGCACAATTTGTGGCAATGACATGTGCCATGGCTGTGGGTATCATGAGGCTAGCCACCAAATCCACATGAATGGTGTTGGCCACATAGTCGAACAGTCGAAAATAGGGGTCCTCCGAAAAACAATCACTTTTTGAATAGATTCGATTTATTCGCGCGTACACCAGGTTCTAGAAGCTTGACCCTTTTCGGATTAACGCATACGTCTTACGTGTGAGGCACACTTCACGGCCTCACGGCCATTTGTGGACGCTTGCGCATTGTTATGGCACATGTTTGTTTAAATATATATATATATATGTAAACACACATACACCTTTTTTTTTGTTTTTCGCTTTGTTATGACGCATGCCTTTTTGGACTGGTCAACCGGAACTGGAGGGGCCTTTCCAACAGTTCCAAGGGGCTGCAACTTGCTGATTTTTCAGCAAGGTAAGCCTTTTCCCTGGCTCCTTCGTACTTCT